AGGAATGAGTCAAGCGTACCTGGCCAGAATCCTGGGCCCTGCACCAGTAGAGTGACCTTGGGCGAGTTGCTGTGGCCTCTGTGAGACTGTTTCTTTATTTGCAAAATGGGCTAATAATAGCCACCTCCTACTGTTATCGGTCAAGATGAAAGGAGAAAAAGCATAGAAAGCCCTTGGCCCTGAGCCTGACACTTTGCAAGATGAATCCAACCACAACCTTTGCTGAGAGGGCTGGGAATGGCCCGGGGTGCTGCTTTCTGCATTCTCCTCTCCCCCACAGGTCCCGGACCTTCCACCCTGCCCTTCTCCCCACTTAACTTAATGCAGGGCAACAGAAGTCAACAGAGTTCATTCAAATGAAGGACTTGAGAGGGGAGATAAGGCAGGGAGGGCTCACCATTTTCAAACTCAAAAGACAGAATAAATCGTTGTCCTTTTCCCCAGCCTCCTTCAATGTTTTTTGCTTCCACCCCAACTCAGAGTTCAAGGGCCTTTCTAGAACAAAAACATCAAGATCAAGTCCTTTTGGGTGCTCTGAGAGGCACTGCTTTAGCTTCAACACTTCATCTGCAACTTCCTCTGGACAGGAGGAGTGGGCCAGGCTGTGGCAGACCACAGGGGTCAGGGCCAAGGGTCAAAGCCAGGCCCGGGCTGGGCTCTCTCCTGCAGCCGGGAGGGAGCGCCTGCAGGAACTGTTGGGAGTCAAGTGTCCCCTGGGTGCAGGCACAGGACCTACTGAACCATGGTAACAGGACTTCACTGACATGGGCATCTTCTTTTGCTGCTGTTTTAAAAATCTACCTTAGTGAACATAAGTGTGACTCTGTTGAGAGGTGAGTGTGTGCATGGACCATCTCCCCACCTCTACTCTGGTGTGTCTCCCAATCAGCTAATGTGGCCAAAACTGTAAGAACAAAGCAACCTCCGCCCGGTGTGAATTGTTGAATACTCTATTGAACACAGGTGAACAGAAGTCAGGTTTTCTCTGTGGACGAAGAAGGACTCCAGGCACCAGCGAGGAAATGAAAGGAACTTCTGGAAATGTTGGGGGCAGATGCAGAAGTTCAAAGGGAAATTAATTTAAAGGACAAGATGAATGGTCCCTTCTGAAATGGCTCAGGTAGAGAAAGAAGTCAGGGTCCAAGAGATGGAGATGTAGAGAAAAGCCCTGGGAGTGAAGAGCTGCCCAGTGCTCTCCTACCGCTCAGAACAGGGCACCAATGCTACAAGCCATGTCCTCAGAGGCAGCTGGAAGAGACAGGTGGTGGCGGGATTCTGTGGCAGGACCCGAGCGAGCTTTGGAGTTAGGGCCAAACTCACTGGCCAACTAGTCAACCACATGCCACTAGCTGATCATGTGACTTTTCATGGCTTCTCTGTCCTAAACCTTGGTTTCCTCATCCTCAAAATGGGACTGATAAGGCCCACTGTTTGGAGGATCCTGTGAAATTAAAAATATAAAAATTCCATCCACAGTACACTGATCACACACCAATTGTGATTCCCTATGTAAGCACCAGAAGTGACTTATTCCTATTCTCGAGCTTCGCCCAGGCTAGCTGGTTTTATGTGTGCCCTAGAAGCATCAGGGACCTGTTCCAACTATCCTGCCCACAGGGAGGCGACTTCACCGGGCATCGCTACAGCCAGAGGCTCTTGGGCAGCTTCCTCACCTGGACAGGCCAGGGGCTGACCCTGAAATCTAGGAGGCCTACAGCTGTGCATGGTTCGGCAGTGCTGAGTGCACCTGTGCTCAGGCCAGTGGTGCTGAGTGCAGCTGTACAGGGTGCAGCAGTGCAGAAAGTAGCTGTGCAGAGTGCATCGGTGCAGAGCCCAGCAGTGCTGAGTGCAGCGGTGTTTTCCAGGCAAGGCCCTGGGTGAGAGGCCTCCTCCCAGGACTCTGTCTCCACCTCCTGGCTTTCCAGATACCTCCCCTCCGGTGGGCACCTTCCCTCCTGAGGGCAAGCCCGGCTAGTCGGCTTCCCTGGGTCTTTCGAGAGTAAGGACATGACCTCCTAATCCATCCACAGCATTTATCGCCCAGGTCAACCAAATTTACCGAAGCTATTTATAAACTATTCTTAATGCTTGAACTTAAAAAAAAATGAAAAGTCAAGAGCATTTGAGTTTCTTCACTCTTTGAAAAATGACAAGGAAATAACAATTGATCTAAAAGCTGATCAAATGCTAAACACTCCCTTCCCCATATTACTCTCTTTTCTTATCCTCCACCCCCTACACATGAAACATCACACGTACATGCACACACACAGGCACAAACACATGTACACATGAACATCTATACATGCACAGGGCAGAGTCCCTTAGAGAAAATCTTGATATTGACCAACATTTTCTAGCTTCTTCTCTAAAACACCACCAACAAATACGAGAAGTTGATGAAGGTTTGTATATCCAAGATGACATTTTAGCGACTATGCCCACAATGCACTGACCGCCGATGACAAGATATTCTTCAGTCTTAAATACCCTAATCAGAAATAAAGTTAGGTTCCTTCTGTGCACAAAAATAGACAAATACATGCAGGTGTGTCAAAGACCCATAGATAAGTGATTACAAAAATACCCACAAAAATCTGAACATTCAGACAGCCTTGGAGCTGGGAAAAAAATAAGCAAAGGGAAGAAATACATAAGCCATAAAAGAGATTTGATCATGTAAAAAAATGAAAAGCTTCAAAGAGGAAAAGATATTATAATCAAAATCATAAACATGACACCATAAACAAAGATGATAACAAAATGGTAGATCAGAAGGAAATACTTTTAACACATATAATGTACTAAGAACTCTCCCAAATTATTAACAAGGTAAGTAACCAATAGAAAAATGACAATGAACATAAACTGGCAAGATATAAAAAAGGAACCAAAATGAACAACAGTAACATAAAACTTAAAAAGATGCCCCATCTCAAATAGTACATGGGGAAGTTAAAATTAACAGGATAATGTAACCATTTTGCACCCATAGAAAATGTTCAGAAGATAATATCCAGTGGGAACAATGGGCTGGTTCTGTCACATGATATCAGAGCAGGGGTAAGTAACTACACACTTTTATAAAAGCCATCTAACAGAATCTATTTAACTTGGAAGTGTGCATACATTCTGACTCAGGAATTCCATTTCTGGACATTTTTCAGGCTTATTAAAATATCAGTGTGTAAAGCTAGTTGTCTGTGATGCTTATTAAAGCATTGTTTTGTAATAAAAGAAAAGACAACCTAAATATTAATGGAAAGGGACTTCATTAAACACACTTTTGCAGCCCCTGGACTAGGGAGCATCGATTGGACTTCTGCTGCCCCTACATGTTCACAGGTGTGACGTAGGGCGGGACTGTACTTCCATTTCCTCACCTATAAGAGGAAGGTAATAATGGTACTTACATTACAGAATACTCGTTTTTTCGTGTTAACTTGGAAGGTCTTTTACTATATATTGCCAAGTTTTTTTTAAAAAGTGATTACAGAATTAAAGGTATTCTTCAAAAATGTCATTTATTTGTATGCTTTATGCAAAGAACTAAGTAGAGAATCTCGACACTGTGACTATCTCTACTGCCTCTGCAGTTTGTCACTAAAAATAAGAATAATCACCAATAGAAAAAATACAAGACACATAAACATTGAAAAACAAATGTAGATGCTTAATAATCAGGGGGAAATACGGAGCCTTGAAGCCTACTGGTTTTTAGACCCTCCTCTATTCAGAGCCCCCTTGATGCCATGTGCCATCAGATTAGCCAAACCGAGGGTGCTACAGTGACCCCCTAAGATGAGGCACAGAAAAGGGGGGTGCATGTTTGTGTGTGGATGCACGCAGGGTGATTGGGGGGGGTCGGAAGGGGAGGGAAGATGCCATGGGTGAAGAAATAAATGCTTTTGGAGGGGTTACAGGCAGACTTGGGCTCTAATCCCTACCCTTGTACTTTTCTATAGATTTAAAATAGTCCCGATTCCTTTTTTTTCACCTAAGATTTTATTTATTTATTTTTAGAGAGAGGGAAAGGGAGGAATAAAGAGAGGGAGAGAAGTATCAATGTGTGGTTGCCTCTTGCACCCCCAACTGGGGGCCTGGCCAGCCACCCAGGCATGTGCCCTGACTGGATATGGAACCTGTGACCTTTTAGTTCATGGGCCAGCACTCAATCCAATGTGCACACCAGCCAGGGCACAGACTCCTTTTTAAACCAATCTCTTCACTCAAGAAAGGAGTACGGGACAGGGTCCGGTGAAGTCATGCTCATGCCAGTCCTGGCACGGGAAGGCAGGGGAGCTCCCGCCCTCGCAGCCCTGCTTCAGGCCCCTCTGGTGGTGCTGAGCCCCCACCTCCTCCTCCGCCGCCTCCTCCGCCCCACCCCGACCCCCTGCACCGCTTTCCCAGCCTTCTTTTCCTTCCCTTGGAGAGGAGGTGCTGGCCTTTAGGCTTGTCACTCTGTCTCACCATGGCCTGTCTGCCTATGACCTTACCATGACGCTCCTTCCAGCTGCATTTAAGAGATTTTTGGGTCCCTGTGCAAGGAAAGGCAGGATTTCGATCACACACACGCAGTAAAACAGGAGAACTGAAGTCCTTGCCACAGAACTTTCTAAGTAAGAATCCAGGTGTCGCTGGATCCTGTACAAAATACAGGCTTCGTTAGCAACAGAAAGAGCTCCCAACACCGCCCTGGCGAGAGAAAATGAATTGTAACAATTTGACATTATTGAGAAACGGCATTTAAAATCATTGACCCTTTAAAATGACTTGAACAGACAGAGAAAGGCACACTAATCTGTCCCTTTGCAAAAGGTGAGACTCCTGAGAAATCTTGGGAAAACTGTAAGCAAAGTACCTGCTGGTCTGGCAGTCCCACCAAGTCCAATGGGAATTCCTTAGAACCTTCCTGACAACAAGGTCACCAGGCTTTACTGTATGAACATGACCCTGTGCTGGCGGCCCGCAGGGGAGCTGGCTGGTGAGGTTCCTGAGGCTCAGGCGCTCTGCGGCCGCGGCTCCCTCCCGCTGTTGAGGAGGTCTGTGAGCTCTCCGATGTACTTGATGGTGTACTTCAGCGTCTGGATCTTGGTGAGCGGCTGGCCCCTCTGGCTGTAAACAGGTGGCAGGTAATTCCGGAGGGTGTGCAGGGCGTCTGCCAAGGTCCTCATCCGGAGCTTCTCCCTCTCGCTGGCCTTCCGCCTCCGCTGCACAGACATCCTGGCTTTGGTGCTCTTCTGGGCCTTGGGGCCCCCAGTGCCCTGCAGGTAAGCAGGCTGGAAAGATAACATGTTGTAATCCACCTCTACCAGGCCACCAGTGCCGTGGCTGCTGCAGCCTTCGCTGCCCCTGTGGATGGCACCCTCATGCCCACAGGGCAGCCCAGAGGCAGTCGGACGGGGAGAAGAAGTGTAAGACTCCAGTGACGGGACCGGGGAGAGGCTCTGCGTGGGGGAGGCCTGGTGCAGCTCAAAGGGCCCTGCCCTGCTTTTCCAGTCCCAGGAGGACAGCAGCCCGGGGCTGTCGGAGGAGCCCAAACCGTCTTCCAGGCTGAGGAAGGTGTCGCGCAGGTTGGCCATGCCTGCGAGACAGCTGCAGAGAGAAAGGCTCCCTGGAAGTGAGAAGACTGTGCCGCCCGGCCCAGGCAGAGCTCCCTTTTATGATGGTGGGACAAGTGATAAAGTGGGAAAGAGGGCCGGGCGCAGGGAGTTCAAAGGAGAAAGCAAGGACCAAGATGGAAAGATGAACTCTTCAGGTGTCACTTTCTCCTCGTTGATAATTAGCATCTTCCAGCTAAAATGGCTTTAAACAGAAAGGCCTCCAAAGAGAAGAAAAAAGGAATTATCTTGTTGTAACTAAACCAATTAAGGCTGCATAACTAGACTTAGCATTGTCCTGTGGAACTCATTAAAGAGGGAGCCAAAGAAAACAAACCCGGGGTGATCTGCAGCCAGGGGGTGGTGGCCAGGGGCCTGGTGGAGAGTAGCCATGCCCCAGAAGGCCCATCCGCTCCACCAAGACCACCTAGACTTCCAGGGCAGATGGAGTGTGCTGTTGGAGAAAGAACATGGTCTGGGGAAGGGGTCATCCTCCCTGAACTCACATTCCTTCCTATGCCCAACACAGACAATAAACCTTTACTTCACAGGGCTTTTGGGAGACGGCTACACAGGGGACACATCGTGGACACCAGCTTCCTCCTTTCCCTCCTCTTTGGTAAATTTCCCTAGGTTTCATAGAGTGCGGAGAAGTCTGCAGTCCTAAAATGACAAAGGCCAGCAGTTCCAGCGAATCCAGAGCCTTCTGCCAGAAACAGCCTTGCAGAAGCTTAAAGCCCTTACTTTAACTAACTGAGCAGGTTGGAATTTGTTACAGCAAACAGACACCAAGAAAGAGAAAGTTCCTTTAAGGCAGGGAGTTTGTAGCGTACCTGCCATTCAGCCTTCTGAAGGACTTTTTTTTTTAATCCAGCTGCAGAGTCACACCTTGTTTTTGAAATGGATAGTGGAAGTGTGAAGTTAACTAAGGAGCCCCCCAGCCTCCGCCACCACAGCTCCAAATGCAGCTGGATGTGTTAAGTTGGCTGGCCCTGCTGGCTGCTTCACTTCCCTCGTGCTCTGACAGAGACCCCGTGTTTTGAAAAAGGTTGTCTCGGAGTCCCCATTTGTCCCATGAGCATTATTTTTTCTCCATGTAACTAATTCCACAAACTAGTATTCCTATCAGAAGCACAGTGGGTTACATTTTGGAGTAATATTGGCGTGTCCTCTAACGTGGTTATTTAAGGTTCCCTGGCAATTATGGAAAAGAAATGCCAATGGTCTAATTAAAACATTGGTGGTATTTTTTAATTAGGTAGGCTCAGGAAAGAAGGAGATCACACAGGCAGTCTGTGATGATGAATGCTCTTAATTTTGACATCAGCTAAAGGACCCTTAACCCCAGCTGGCAGAATAATAACATCAATAAAACACAATAGATGTAATGAGATTTCCTCTCCTTTCCCTCCTCTTCCTTTTCTTTCAGCTCTTCCTGGGGAGCCTAGAATCTGCTGATGCTTTCGAAGGAAATTCACGTGGATTACAATGAATTTTTATTTTAAAAAATGTTTTACAGATGAAAGGACCAAGGCTCTAAGAGGTTAGAAGGGCCAGTTAAGATTTCCCTGGTCAAGCCAAGATCCCATGTAACACCCGAAAGTCTACCTTCAGAAAAAAATAACAGAACATTGCTTCCTGTTTCAGTTGGTGGGGGTGGAGGGCATGACCGAAACGAGACTCAGAAAGAAGCGGGAGCTCGGTGGCCCCAAGGTGGTTGTGGCAGCCACTCTCCCAGTGGCTTCCAGTCCTCACTCTGAACTTCGGTTTTCCGTAGAATATTCTTCCGCTCTCAGGTGCCATAACTCTTTTTTTTTTCTATAGCTTCTTCCTAAAATGATGATTTCTTAAACTTCCATTTTCAGAAGTTTCATTGTCTAAAGGAGACAACATCTGCCAAATCCGTGGTACGCTGTAGGCCCTTAATCAATGGCAACTCTGTCCTTGCTATCACCAGGGTCAGGACAACACGCTACGTGTGCTCTGACTGTGCTGCTGGCCCGTCACCCAGCGTCACTGGGCCCCGAGACCAGTTCTTAGAACAAGGAAACTGCCTGCCGTCCGCGTCTGTCTAGTAAGAAATAAACCAGAACAGGACTGCGTCCATCCTGCTCGTCTGCAGGAGGCGTGCGGTACCGGTTCTGCCGAAACGGAGGTGTGGGATAGCAGAGCATGGGGCCTCCGATCGCCCCGCTGCTGGTGGAGGGCTGTTGGGTGCCACAGGCCTAGAGGCCTGGAGGTCAAGGCTGCTCCAGATGTTACTCCAGGTGCTTAACGCAGATGAACTCCCATAAATCCTCGTGACAACCCTATGAAGTAAGTAGGAGCTGTTACCATCATCAATACTGTTGTACTAACAAGGAACTGAGGCACGGAGGACTTAAGAAGTTTGCCCAAGGCCCCAGAGCTAATGCCTAATGACTGGTAGCCCAGGGTTCACTCCTGGCTTTTAACCACTGACTGAAAGACCTGAGAACAGTGGAAGGCGTCAGCAGGACGGTCCCTCTGGTGCTCTGCAAGCCTGAACATGAGCTTTAACTGGGACTCAGTAAGAATGGGAGAACTGCTTGATTGGTACCATTCAATCAAGTAACCAGTGCCCACAGAGCACCTGACACCGGCCCGGTGTGCTGGCACTCTAGGGGCTATGAGGATGCAGTAGGTTTAGACTTGCTGTCCTCATCCCTGAATGAGATGATGAGATGGACTAGCACCACGTAATGCTTCTCTGACTCTGCTAGTGGGTGGGCCTGAGTCTGGTAGAGAGTTGGTCTGAAGAGAGTGTGGTGTGAAGGCTACCCCCCTGTCCCAGCCATACCCGCCGTTACCCTGGTGATGAGAGCAGTAATAACCACAAACTTATCTGGTGCTGAGTGCTTTGGATGATTTATCCCATTGAAACCTTACAAAAATCCTTCAAAGAAAGTAGCATTGTCATTTCCATTTTACATAGGGAAAAAACAGGTTTGGGGAAGTAGAAAAGTTGCTCAAAGTCATGATTAAAAAGTGGAGGGGCCAGGCTCCAGTGAATGACTCTATGTCACAAGGAAGGCGGTGGGGAGGGAGGGTTTTCAAAGGGGCCCTTGTTCATGCCCTAAGGTTGTTTTACAACTTTGGGTTCACAGCCCCTGAACAGAAGGCATCTGTCTCCCCTGCCACTTTCTAAAGCTTTCCCTGGCTTTAGGCCACACGATCATTTCTGCCAAACAGCAGGTAAGGTTGACAGGTAGGCATATCTTCCTACAATTGAAAGTTTTAGAAAGAATATCTTATTCTTTCACTGATAAAACACTTCCGCGCACTAATATCAACAAGAACACTTTCCTTTTTCTGAGTACTTATAGTGCTTACTCTGTACTGGGTGCTGAAAACAAGAGCCCCATATACATGGTCTTGGGCAGCCCTCCATTCATTTTGGGAAGGTAAGCAACATCTCCATCTTACAAGAAGGGGGAGTGAAACTCAGATACTCCAGTTCAATGGACACAGTTCCTCTTTTCAAGGCCTGAAGCTCACCCAACATCTCTGTGGCCGATGCACCCACGTCAGCTGCAGTAATGCACCCACTTCCTGTCTTCACAGCCTCCAACTCAGAGCGTATCATGCAGATACTCCATGTGCTCTGGTTTCATAGCTGTCTTTGGCCATCAGGGTCTCACACCCCTGACCTTCGTATACTCCACAGTCCCTATTCCCAGCCACAACCACAGCCACACAGCCTCAATGGCCAAAGCAGCCCCTGGCCTGACCAGCCCCTGCCAGGCAAGGGATAGACCCAGTGTTTGAAGACAGTTAGGACCAATTTAAAAACCTGCACCCTTTCACTCCATCACACAATCTTGGCACCCAACTAACAAGTAACCAACAAATATATAATTCTTGTGGGGCAAAGGGAGTGTGTGTGTTTGTGTGTGTGTGTGTGGTATGAAAAGAATACCTAATTGCAATGCAGTATCTTCCTGTGTCCTTGAACTAGTAAGGAGAAATAAAAGTAGCAATTTCCTACTTGGTTACTGACATAGAGCCCCTGTGTTATAAGCTGTAAGAGTTTTAGCAAAGTCAGTGCCTGTGTTACTTTCCTGATAAGCCAGGGAGATAATGAAACAAAATAACACACAACAAAAAACAGAAATGAAATGATGTGGCTTACTTTCTAGGAGAGCCGAGAGACAGAAGATAAATATGCTAAATGGTAGAAACCATTTAGAACAGGGGGAGAAAACCCCTGTGGACTTCTGAAGCCATTCCTCTCGAGGAAAACCCCTGCCCTGAATCTGTGTTCATCGCCATCCCCTCCACTAAGCGACATCAGAAAAGCAGCCTTCCTTGTCTGTCTTAAACATCTGTATGACTTCCTTTGTCCCCAAGCATGCTGACAACCTGGGTTCAAGATCCGACCCACTCCACAGCCAAGCCCTGTATAAATCTCCAAAGGAATGCAGGTGGAGCCAAGCCAGTGTGGCTTTCCTAAGAATAATCCACTTACAGGAAGCTGTGCCCCTGTGGGACCCCCACAGTTTCTGATCAGAACATAAGCCTCCTTCTCTTTTGAAAATATGACTAAATATGCCCATGGGGGGGTGGGGCAGGGGGTCCAGCTATCCTGTCTGCTGATGACAGGGGGGTAGTAGACAGGAGAACACACTGTGTGGGGCAGGGAACATCAGCGCTGGAACCAGGGCAATAAACAGAGGAAGTGGGAGTTAATTCTCCCTTGGGAGCTGCGGGGCAGGATGTCTGGATGATTCTTATTGCAAGAGAATATGAGCAGTTCCTCTTGGTTCAAAAAACATCTCGTGTCAACATTTAGCCCCAAATAGCCTGTTTTTTCCCCCACAGACTAGGGAGGGGAAACAGCTTTGCAGCCTTCAACTCTTCAGCAACTGGTTAGCAAAAGTAAAAAAAAAAAAAAAAACCTCATGTGTTACATTTACACCTCTTCCCCCTTTTAAGTTGGATTCTTTATTACCAATGGTATTTGG